ATATTCGAAAAAAAAAAAAAAATATATATTATTTAATGCCTCTTTGTTACGTTTACATTTACCAGAGAGAGAGAGAGAGAGAGAGAGAGAGAGAAAACCATCATTTTATTTTATTTTTTTACACACACGATTACAAAACGCGAACGTCGAATAATAATAATAATAATAAAGAAAAAAAATTTTCCTTTTCGAAATTAATAGGTAAACAAACAATCGAACAAATGATTTTCTTTCTTTTTTTTTGCACGTGTAAAAACCATTTTTAAAAAAATTAAACACGTCAAATATTTAATTACTATATATAAATTTAAGAATTGTAAACTTGCAACTAATGACTTAACAAATAATAATAATAATACTAATAATGTTTTACATATCGTTCATCGAAACAACAAAGAAAATTTTTTACTTAAAGTTTCTTTACTCCTTTGTTTTCCATTTTTTCCTTTATTTTGCGTCTTTTTTTTTTTTTTCCTTTTAAATTAAATGCTAAGAAACGATTACAAAACAAAACCATCAATAAAAAAAAAAAACGTAATTTATTAAATCGGAAGCTCTTTAAAAAAAAAAAAAAAAAAAAAAGTGAATGCAAAAATTCATTAAAAAAGGGAGACAGGAAAGTATGAAGGCCAACAATTGATGAAGCAAAAGCAATCTCATGCATCACAATAATACAATATATATTTCAAGGTAAAAAATTATTATTATTATTATTATTATTAAATATTATCATCATCATCAACGTTTATATATTTTTTTTTTTTAATATTTTTTTTATTTTATGACATCATTTATTGGTTTTTATTAAATGATAAAGCAATTTAAAAATCTCGAGAGAGAGAGAGAAAATTTTATTTTATTTTTTTTGTTCAGTGGAACCAAAATGCAAGTTTTAACACAAAAAAAAAAAAAAAAAGGTTAAAAATTCAAGGTAAATAATTTTTTTTTCTTTTTTTGTTACGTGGATGTGTGTACAATGACACGTGTGAAAATTATCGATTTTTATCATAACGAAAAAAAAATGGATGGGAAAAATAATAAATGATTGACTGACTTACTGGTTTTGTTTTTTTTTTTTTTTTTTATTTTTTTTGAATTTATTTTCGACCGAATATCAAACAAAATTTTCTCCACGATATATTGATAATTGATCGTCGTCGACATTATTAAATTACATTAAATTATTAATTATATATATCGAATTACATAAAAACGAACGTGAAAATATTTATTTGCATTTATAACACTTTTGTTGATTTATTCGAACAAATTATTTATTATTATTTATTTATTTATTTTTTCCCCCTACTGTCAAAATGATACCGTGTCGATTGCGACAACTTTAAAATGACGTTTACATTTTAATTTTATGGATGATTACTTAAACAATTTATTACAAAAAATAATAATAATAATAATAATAATAAATAATTAAAAGGCGAGCAGCATATGAAACTGATTACTGAAGTAAATGTAAGATTAAAAAAAGAAAAAAAGAAAAAAAAAACATTAAAGCGATTAATGATAAATTTTCTTGTTTTTTTCTTTCTTTCTTTCCTTTTTGTTTTCAGTTTGCTTTATCAATGTCTTAAAAAGGTTTTTTTTTTTTTTTTTTTAAATAAATTGAGTTTAATAATATTATTATCTTGTAAGTGTTTCAAGTTTAAAATTTTAATTGTTTTTTTTAAAGAAAAATTTATTTTTAAATAATTATCACAGAATTATTTAAAAAATTATTTTTATTTATTTTTACTCTCAAATCAAATCAAAAAAAAAATTTAAATATATAATCAATCACGGTTGATAACAACATATGTCATTTTTCTCCATGTTTAAAATTCAAATATTTGATGATAATAATAATAAAATAAAAGTATCAACTCTCTCAAATTTTTCAAAACAATAACAAAAAAAAAACAAAAAAAAAAAATGTTTAATAAGCAGAAATTTTATTTTTTTATTTTAAATTTTATCTAATACAGTTAGTCAAAGGAAAAAAAATTAATTTTAAACACCCTTTGACCTTTTAGCTAAATAATAATAATTTCTTTTTTTTTTTAAACATGAGCAATTTAAAAAAAAAAAAAAAAAACCTACAAATTTTATCATATGTCATAATGTATATATATATTTTAAATGAAACATTTTTAACTTTGATAATTTTATTTGAGTTTGTATACAACAATACAGAGGTTGGAAATTGAAAAATTAAGCAATAATATTATGATTCAGTCGTTTTTTTTTTTTTTTTTTTTTTTTTGAATGATTCAGAAACATAAATAATATTACAAAAAGATGTATTGGTTATGAAAATACATAAAATACTCAACATATTGTATATACATCTCGAAATTTTTATTGAAATTTCATCAAAATTGATTTTACATTATGTATAAAAAACAATTTTAATAAAATTTTAAGTATAAAAATGTATTGCACTCGATTAGTTGTATCAAAGAATGTGCAAAAACAAAATTTCTTTTGTTAATACATTTTTATTATAATTACTTTTGTATATTAATAAGGTTGACATTGTTATAAATGTAGCCGAATTCATGGTGAATGTAAATACTCATTAAAAAATTTATAATTATTACATAATTGCATTCAAAAAATTAAAAGATTACCATTTCTTACATATGTGTCAATGAATGGTAATTATAAAATGTGTTTCCTTTCAATACATTTGATGTACTAATAATTTTTTAAATTATTTCAGTCAAAATGAATTTGTAATCGAGTAAAGTTGGTGATTTGAAAATGGTAATTAAAAATTAAAGAAACAAAAGCTTTCAAGAATTCATACACTCACTGTTTGTTAAAATAATAACAAATGTTTAACAACAATTAGCTACAATAATATTTGAATGTTTTTTTTTTTTTTTCATAATTGCAATAATTTTTATTTTTTTAATTTTTGTCAAGTTTTTTCTTTTGTTATTTTAAACCAGCTGGTTAAATACCCACAAAGATCCATAAAGGCATTCTCGTCGTCACATGCAACGAACCGGATTGGTCAATTATTTTCAACTAGCCTACTTAGGAAGTCAGTTGTAGGCTTAGTTTTTTGATATACTTATAAAGCTATCATATTTTAATAAGCATATTTTAAACAAAGCTGTTTAAAATAACAAAGTAAGTATTTCATCAATTGGAATGAATCATACAAAAGCTAAATTGAAACAATAAATAAAAACTTACCAAAGAAAAATAAAAACAATTAAAAAAAAAAAAAAAATCAAAAAATAAACTCCAGCTTCTTAAAACAAAGATTACTGCCTTTAAAAAATTGAACTTTTGGTTTTAATGAGAAAAAAATATTATGGTTTGGTAAGTAAGCTGAAAGAGACATTTTTACTCTTTTGACACAATTAATCACCAAATATTACAGATCTTTAGTGTTAACTGAACATCTACAAACAATAGCAGAAAAGTATTAAAAACTTTAGAGATGTGAGCATGCGCAAAACAATGGGATCCAATCGCAAGCTTTTTCTTTATCTCGCGCTATTATTTTTAAATTTCTAAATTACGTCATACAATGTCGTGGTTTTAGACTAATGTGAAAAAAGTTTAAAATAATTTGATCGTCTTTGTGATGAATTTCACTTGGAGTCTTTTACACCAGAGAAACATTTTTTAACGTAAAATATTTAAACTTATAATTATAAGTAGTAATTTTTAGTTTTTATTTTTATGTCCACCATTGTGATATTCTAACTTAGCATTGATTATTTTAACAATTGAAATAGATTGTGATAAAACATTTTATGTTTTAATAATATAATTTTAAATCGTGAATATCTATGAATAATAAGAATGTAATAATAATATTCTTTAATTTATGTAAATCTAATTATTAACAAATAAACAATGAAGAATGAAAAAAAAAAAGAAATATTTTCAAGTTTTTGAATGCAAGAGTCATCTACCGAAAAAAAATTAGTATCAGTCACGTGATAAAAACTTTAACGTGGCACAAAGTTCCGTTGCTTTTATATGAGATAACAAAGTAATTTAGTAAATAAAAATGACTGACACTTTATATTATTAATTTTGTTTTACACTTATTGTACAGTTTTTTCTTAATTATTTCAATTATGTCACACTTTATAAACGAAAAAAACATAAATACGGATACTAAACTTTTTGAACTCTTACAAAATGATTTACGTAAATTATCGGTCGAAGCTAAAAAGAAATATCCCATGATTAAAGAGGTAATTTTAATTTCATTTAAATTTGTTTGTCAGATTTCAAATTTATTACATAATTTATTTTAAGATTTTATTTCGATTAATATATTATTTTAAAGTACCATGTTTTGGACTTTTGAATTAAAATTTTAAATTGTTTTTTATTTATTTCAAGTGACACAATGTAAAATAATTTCTTCTTAATTGTTATGCATAATTACACCTAATTTATTTTTTTAATATTTTTTTATTGATGCAAGCAAAAGATATAATCATAAAAAATTAAGAGTTTTCTGTACATAAAATTTTATGTTCTAGTTTTAATTTTATGCTGTAAAATTAACATTTACAATCATTTTGAAATGTTATATTAATGTAAGAAATGTGTATTGTTTTTTTTTTTAGTCCTGCGAAGAAGGGATTGTCAAACTTCGTAATGCACAAACCAATCCTCAGACTCCTCTTTACTATGTAGTAAATCAAATTCTTTATCCATTCGTTCAAGGATGTGAGACAAAAGATCAAAAAATTGTTAAGGTAATATAGTTTTTTATATGTTATTGAATAAATTTGTCTTGTATTACAAATACTCTTATTGTTCACTTTAAATTTTTTTTGTGTTCAATTCATTAGTACAATCGTTATTTGAATTTTGGATGAAAAGCGAATAATTTAAATAAAGAAATGATATTTTTGTGGAGCAAAAATATTTTAATTACTTTACTAACCTTATAAAATTTTTGTCGAATCAGATTTAACAAATTCCCGATTCTTGAGTAAAAAAAAAAAAAAAAAAAGTAAGAGTATCAAAATAATTTGAAAAATGAAAATAATATTACATTTTTTTCTTTTAGATCTGTCTAAATATGATTCAAAGGCTTATCACAGAGCAAGCAGTGGATCAAAAAGGAGCTCGATACATTACTGAAACTTTATGGATGCTTATGGAAGCAGGAAGTGAAGAAGTAAAAGTTTTACAAAGTGTTACTCTTTTATTGACAACAAACACCATAGTTCATGGTGAAACATTAGCAAGGGTAAGTAATTACTATCAATTATTATAATATTTGGGTAAAAATAAGAAAAATTAATGTTTTTAAATTACTACTTAATTCTTTCTGTGTGTTTTAGAATCTTATATTATGTTTTCGACTTTATTTTTCTAAAGATCCCACCACTGTAAATACAGCTGGAGCTACTATACGTCAATTAGTTTCATTGGTATTTGAAAGAGTTGTCGCAGAAAATGAAAAATTTGGTCCTGAAGAAAATTCTCCTTCTGATATCAATTTTACTGAACTTCGTGCACCTAGAAATAACCCCCCTAAAAGTTTAAGGCCTTGTGCTGGAGACGCCTTCTTAATGTTTCAGGTCGAATTAAATAAAATTTATTAATTTTTTTGAAATAAAAAAAAAAAAACCAGACTAAAAAATTTATTTTTATTTTTATAGGATTTAGTATTATTAGTTAATGGGGATGAACCTGGTTGGATGGTAGGGATATCAGGAGTGAGTAGAGGATTTGGGCTTGAATTATTAGAACTCGTACTCACAAAGTTTCCCCAAATTTTCCACCGACATCCCGAATTTAGTTTTTTACTAAAGGAACGAGTCTGCGCTCTTGTTATAAAGCTTTTTTCGCCAAATATTAAGTACCGTTGCTCTGCAGCAGCCTCAACTTTTCAAAATGCTCCATTAGATAAACCAAATTTTCCAGTCAGTATGAGATTGTGTCGAGTGGTAGAAATTTTAGTTCACCATTATCAAACTTTATTGGTAGTGTATTACTTTTTTCAAACAACAAAACAAAAAAGAAAATTTAATAAGAATTGTTAATTCATTGCTGAGACATTTTTATTTTAGGTAACAGAATGTGAAATTTTTCTTTCTCTTATTGTTAAATTTCTTGATCCAGACAAACCTGTTTGGCAGCGATCTTTAGCATTGGAAGTTCTTCATCATTTAACAGTTGATTGGAAAATAGTTAAAACATTGTGCGAATGTTACGATTTGAAAGCACATTCTACAAATATTTTTCAAGATATTATAAATTCTTTAGGAGCTTATGTTCAGTCATTGTTCGCTGACCCGAGCCAAAGTGGATTACCTGCCAATAATGTTACTAGCAACTCCAGCCAGGGTCACGGAAACTTAATGGCTCCTCCTTCGGGACCTGGAACACCTCAACCTGGCTTTTTTTTAAGAGGCATTTGGTTGCCTTTGGTTGTAACTTTTACACCTGGGCAAGCAAAATCTATTTAGTAAGTTAAACGATTTTTACCCTAATATTTTAAATCAATCATCTTTTACTATTCAAAATAAAAAATTATTTAATATTTTTTATTTAAATTCTAATGAAATATGTATTACTTAGTCTAGAAATGTTAGATAAAGTAGAAGCTCCCACAATACCAGACGGATATGGAATATCAGTAGCGTATGCTTGTCTGTTGGATGTTGTGCACTCTATTTCCGTTTATATGGACAATTTAAAAAAGCAAAGTGAAAACGGAGATGTAAAATTAGAAGATTTAAATTTAAATGAAAAAGAAACCACAACAAATACAGATCAAAGCCTTAAAACTCAGCTTGTTGTATCAAGTTGGTGCGGGCTTCTTGCAGCATTAGGTCCTTTAGTAGAATTAAGGTGAAAAAAAAATTTTTTTTTTTTTTTTTTTGAGACATTTAAAAATTTATTCTAAAAGTAATTAAATTTTTTTTTTTCAGTACTGACGAAACTACCACTGAAAACATACTCAAAGCCATGCAACGATTTGCAGGTTTTTGTGGAATATTAGGTTTAGAAAATTCAAGAGATGCATTTATTATAGCTATTTGTAAAGCGTCGCTTCCTCCGCAATACGCATTAAACGTATTAAACGTGCCAACCACTACAAACAATTCATCGCTTAGTAAGTTAATAACTTTTACTGTAAAAAAATTTTTTAAATAAATAAATTAATATTGTATTTTGCACTTTCAGATTATAATTTTACAAACACTCAAGATGGCAATGTTCAGTATGCCATTCCTGGTTACGGAGTCGATTCAGATTACCGTCAGCAAGTTGTGGCAGTTGGTACTCCATTACCTACAGCCTCACTGCCTTTTGGTAAGAATTTAAATTAATTAATTTCAATTTTTATAAATAAAAAATTTACTATGGGTTTGAATAAACTTTTTTTTTAGGTGCTCAACAGGGACCGGTTATGTTGACCAGTAAAAATCTTCAATGCATGAAAGCTTTACTTACTTTAGCTCAAAATCACGGTAGCGTTTTGGGAACTGCTTGGCATCTAGTTCTTACAACTCTTCAGGTAATTGTTTAGCAAAATTTCTCTAAAAGATTTATTAAGCTACAAGTTTTATTTTTTATTTTTTATTTTTTTTCAAAATTAAAAAATAATAAATTAAAAATTTTTATTAAGCACCTTGTGTGGATTTTGAGATTAAAGCCCTCAACCGGTGGAAGCTTAAAAGCTGCCAAAATGTCTTCAGATTCAAATGCGGTCATAACAACGGCAGTTATGGCTGATCTGCCAATGCTTTCTTCAATGCTCAGTAATTTATTCGAATCGAGCCAACATCTTGATGATGTTGCACTCCATCACTTAATAGACGCATTGTGTAAACTTTCTCAGGAAGCAATGGAGTTGGCGTATTCAAATCGAGTAAACATCAATTCATAATTAAGTACAAAATAATGGTAATTATTAATGAACTAACAATTTTTTTTTTTTTCCTTTAAGGAACCTTCCTTATTCGCCGTTGCAAAACTGCTAGAAACAGGTTTGGTAAATTTACATAGAGTAGAAGTTTTTTGGAGGCCTCTTACTAGTCATTTATTGGAAGTTTGTCAACATCCTCATATAAGAATGAGAGAATGGGGTGTAGAAGCCATAACTTATTTATTGAAAATTGCACTTCAGCATAAATACCAACCTTCCCTTCGGACAAATCAGGTTTGTATTAATTTCTTTAATTCTTTCAAGCCTACTAATTTTTCCAAGTACTTTAACTTTACATTTTATTTTTTCAGAACTTACAAGCTTTAGTGTTAGCTCCTCTTTCTGAACTTTCATCTGTACCTCATCCCGACGTTAGGCAAAGACAATTGGAATGCATGCTTCACGTATTACATAGCTCTGGGGATACTTTATGCCACGGTTGGCCCCTGGTATTAACAACGATCGGCGCCGTTTCTGATTACCACGGGCAAGTTAATAATTTTCGATCTGTAAAAATGTGGATTATATGTTAAAAAAAAAAGTTTCCTATTTTTATTTATTTACTTGTATATTCTTTTTCATAATTTTTAACGAATCGCATTTTTTTAATAAATGTTTTAGAGAAAATTTGATTCGAGTGGCCTTTCAGTGTTTGCAGCTTGTTGTGACTGATTTTTTGCCCGTAATGCCTTGCAATTGTTTACCTCTCTGTGTAAATACAACAGCAAAATTTGGATCTCAAACTCAGGAGCTTAATATTTCATTAACAGCTGTTGGACTTATGGTAAATTTGAAAAAATTCTACGTAATTTTTTCATTCTACTTAATTTAATGTTAATTTTTTATTATTATTTTTACAGTGGAATATATCTGATTATTTTTACCAAAATCAAGAAAAATTATCTCAGTCGTTTTCTTCCGATAGTACCGTTTTTCCAGATTTCCCGGGCACCCCCGATATGCCACCATTCGATAAATTATGGATGTGCCTTTATACAAAATTAGGTAAGAAATTTTAGGTATTTTTTATTATCAAAATTTTATTATTGTTATTTTTTTTATAATTTGATTTTTTTTTTTTTTTTTTAGGGGAGCTTTGCGTCGATAAAAGACCAGCCGTTCGAAAATCTGCTGGACAAACTTTGTTCTCGACGATTAGCGTTCACGGAAGTCTTTTCTGCGAAAGGACATGGCAGCCAATCATTTGGCAAGTTTTATTTCCCCTTTTAGACAAAGTTAGGTCTGCTTCAAGTTGTGCGAGTGCAGAAAAGGTTGATACGGGTGGAAATATTTTAATACATCATTCCAGAAATACGGCACAGAAGCAATGGGCCGAAACTCAGGTTGGCGATACTATTACGTTTGACCACAAATTTTGTAAAAATAATTAGTACCTGTAATTTGATGAATTCTGTAAATTTTCAGGTGCTAACATTATTGGGCGTTGCCAAAGTTTTCGAGTCAAAAAGAAAACTACTTCAAAAAATTGGAGATTTTTCACGATTTTGGTCTCTTTTCCTGGAATTTTTAGAAGTTGCAGCTCTTAGTAAAAGCAGCGAGGTATGCACATAAAATAAAAGAGAACAAGGAAAGTAATCGAAAAATTAATTTTTTTTAATTGCAAAATTTTAAATCCAGGTTTCCATATCGGCTTTAAAAGCTTTTCAAGAGATTTTATACTGGCGTAGCAAGGGAGGAGTCGCAATCGAAAACGAAGAAGATTGTAACATACTTTCGGAAGAAGAAGAACTTAGTATACGATTACGAGCTTGGAATGTTTGGTTAAATGTTGGAATAGAATCCACTACACCCGAGAGAGTAAAAGCGAGTCCTCCTACTCAGCATTTTCTAACGGCTTTAATGCAAATTTTCCCGGATGTTTTTCTACCAATTAAATCAAAGTAAAAATTATTTATTTTTTGAGTTCAATGAATAGTAATCAAACTGTAAAAATTCACTTTTATTTTATTTTTTTATATTTTTTTGTAGTTTTGGAAAAGCGGATTTAGAAAAACTTTGCAAACTCCTTGAAAGAGCCGTACTTGTACCACCTCACTGCGAGAACACATTCATGATGCCTTCCGTGTCGGAAATTCACGTGACTCAATTGCAAGATGGAGTTTTGGATTCTCTCGAACTTCTCGCCATGGTAATTTCTACTCGTTAAATTTTAAAACAATTTTTAATTTCAAAAAAAAAAAGAAAAAAAATTAAAATTTATTTTTTTCAGGGAGCTGCCGACGAATCTTGGCCTTCGAATGTAAAAAACATGATCGCTCTTATTTTCGAGCAACTTTTCGAATTTGTTAAATTACCGAGTCGCGTCCTGTCGGAAAATCATAAAAAAGACGTGAGTATAATTTTTTTTTTTTTTTTTTTTTGACAAATTTCCTTTTAATTTAAAAGAAAAGAAAAGAAAAGAAAAAAATGAATTTGTTTCGTAGGGAGAATGGTCAAGCGTTAATTACATTCCATTTGCCGAAAGAGCTATGGATTTAGTTGCTTGGCTTTACGAAAAATCAGCTTCTTCACCGATTCTATTAGAATCATCAATACTAGAAAAAATAATCATAGCTTATCACGATCCCTTATGCTCCAAACACAAATTATCATCATCATCGCCTCAAACGTGGAGTCTAGCTGCTAGTTGCTTTATTAGAATTTTAAAAGTCGGATTACCATTAGCGAGAAAATATCCTAATCATTTTAATTCCATGTGGTCTCATTTAGCGGACACGTTAGATAAATTTTTATTTTCAAACAAGTAAGCATTTCCCCTTTTTGTTTGATTAATTTTAAAATTTTTCTCCGAGTATAATAATAATGTAAGTATAAAAAAAAATTATTATTAATTATTTTCAGTGAAAACGCGATAGAGAAAACGCCGGAGGAATCGAAAGCGGATGAAGCCATAGATTGTCAAATAATTGAATTAATCCGTGATCAAATATTGCAATACTATGCCGTAGTTCCTAAAGAATTTCTAATGCAAATTGTCGTTTTGCTCAATATGGGTTCCATTCATTCCGCCACGAATAAAGGTGAATAAAAAATTCGTGAACTTTGACCTGATCCGCAGTCCGATTCGCAATTTCCTTTTTAAAACGTTATTTATTTTAGATTGTCAAGTCATCGAAACGAAACTTAGAGAAGAATTTGCCAAAATTTGTTTCGAAACTCTCTTGGAATTTTCACTCATGGACACGGAAGAAAAAATTACAGATGCGGCCAAAGGAGATTCCGCCATTGCCGGAAGATTGGCTGTTACGTCACTCCTTCACAGATTCGAATTGGTTTTGAGGAAATTTGCGGAAGAGGAAAAAAATTCCGGAAAATGTCCACCATCGAGGTCAGTTAGGTTAGTTGTAAGGGTAGGAGGACGTAGAATTGATGAGAAAAAAATTGTTACGTACGAAGAGTTTTTGCTTAAAAGTAATAAAAAAATTTTTTTCTTTTTCAGATATCAAGTTTCAGAAGTTTCGTTCGTATTGAAAGCCATAGCAACTCTCGTTCAATCGTTGAGGAAAGCTCCTCCGGAAAAAGGTAATGAAAAATTATAAAGTTTCCCCCTTCCCCCCCCCCCCAAAAAAAAAAAAAAAAAAAAAAAATTAATAATAATTTAAATTTCAGTCGGACATTCCGCGTGGCAACAATTAATTTCGTTATATCCCTGTCTCGTGAGTTGTGTGACTACGTCATCATCAGATATTACAATTGCTCTAAGAGAAGCTCTCCTTCAATATTCTCACCTATTAAGTCCTCCGAAAACATAAAATTAAATTTTTTATATAATAAAGTTTGTTTTTTAATTGACAAAAACAATAAAAATCCGACCGACTTATGTAAGAAAAAAAAAAAAAAAAAAAAGGTTTTGTCCAGTGCAATTATACAATTTTAAAAGTCGTTAAACGACTCGTTTAAACTGCATTTAAAATAAAAAAAAAATGTTTAGATCGGTGTAAATATATATAGAAAACATTAAAATATAATTATTTATTCGTTTAAGTAATTTTATATATATATATACATAAATGTTGTAAATAATATATAAACAGATATAAAATTAAAAATGTTTTTTTTTTTTTTTTTGTTTTGTTTTCACATAATGTCGAATGTTTTGAAAGATTTCATTCAAAAAAATTATTGAGAAATCATTAAATTAAATTAATTATTGTTTGTTACCTGCCTTGAAAATATTCACAGGTTTCACATCAGCATTATTCAATCAGTCAATAAAAATATTATTATTATTATTATTTTATAAAGTCAAAGCAGCAATTAATTAAAATTTATACGATGTATACATTAAATAAATAAATAAATAAAAAATAAACGGGAAAAAATTATTCTTTTATTTATTCATATTTATTTTTTTTATAATAATTAAATGTAAAATTTTAAATTTAAATTTAAATTTAAATTTTTTTTTCTATATATAATAAATATTGTAATTTTAATAAAGGATAAAAAAAAAAAAAAAAAAATTTTTTTCAAATTTTTACGATCGTGTATTATTATTATTATTATTATTAATATTATCCGTTATTGTAAAAATAATTAATTATTTAAAAGTGAAAATTTTTCATGGATTTTTTTTTTTTAAATGTATAAGTAAATGAAAATGTTATTAAAAAAAAAAGAATGAATGAATGAATGAATGAATGACTGATTTTTTAAAAAAATTTCATTTACGTCCTGTATATGTGAAAACGAAATAAGCAATAATTAAATGAACGAAAGTTTTAATTAATATTTTTAATGTATTAATAATAATAAGAAAAAAAAAAAATATGTATATATATATACGTAAGAAAAGTTAAAAATAATTTTTACATAAATAATATTATTAATTTGACAGCAGTTTAAGGTAAGTTTTAATACCTATGTATTTTAATTATTTATTAAAACATTAATATTGATAATAATTTGATTTATGTTTATTTTAAACGCTATTAAAAAATTATTTCATTTATCGATTACATAAAATTATTCATTAAATGTTATTAATGTGAATTTCGATAGTGTTATTGTAAATTGTGAACATTGCTTGATTTGTTAAATTGCCCAATATTTTAAGTGTGTTTATTAATATTACTGATAACATGACTAAAACATGATGGAATAAAATTATTTGTTCTTTTAACAACCTCCTGGACAACCCTTTCTTCTAGTTGTCGGAACATAATTCGATGAACTACTACTATCGGATAATGGAAAATAAGAATCATTTAATTTTCTTCCACCTTGAAGTCCAAGTCTACTATAAGATTCTTGTCTTTTTTTTTCTTCTTTCTAAATTGTTAATAACAAAATAAAATGTTTAATTTTAACAAAATAATAATAATAATAATAAATTTTTGTTTATATATACTCACTTCTTGAAACGATTTTTGTTTTATGCATGCTTGTTTGTTATATTCATCTTGTAATTTTCTAACAGCTTTCATTCGAGCTTCATCCAATTCGAAACAATTATCAGGTTCTGAATATTCATATTAAGAAATTATAATTAATATTATGTAACGTTTTAAAAAATTTTGTAACAGGTTAATAAAAGTACCTTTTTTAGCTATTGCAGCAATCCTTTTAATTTCTCTTTCTTCTCTCCATTTGTTAAATTTAGATGATAAATATTCATTCCAAATGTAATAAACTAATGCAGCCACGGCTACAATGTACCAAGCATTTGATTGCAATATCGAAAAGCCTAAAAATATTCCCAGAAATAATCGAAAAAATTCATTTTGCCATAATAGAATAATCTCAATGTCAGTTATCAATGTATTATCTCATATTGGTTAAAATTAAATTTTTTTTTTTTTTTATTTACCATTACTAACGCTTGTCATCCACGAAGGCTCATTTGGTTCGGCTATTATTTCTTCTACTTCAATATTATCCATTTTTAACGAATTAATAATTTTTGTTAATCCGAAAAAAAAATAAAAATAAAAATGTCTATGTTGTTTTTACTAACTACTTTCATCCATTAAACGTAATGTCATCTTACGACAATAAAATGGCGGCGAGTTTAACGGAAGTTCCATAGAGTAAAAAAACAAGAATTTCCGGGTAAATTTGAATTTAAATTATATACATATACATTTTAATTTTTTTAAAAGTAATTATGTTAATTTTTTAAATTTATTTTCGCCTTTTGAAAATTATTTACATTTAAATCATATTATAAAATTCAATTAAATTTAATACGAAAACGTCTCGTGTTAAATTATGTCTTATACATTTATAATTTCAAAAACTAAATGTATATGTAAAGAAAAACCTTACAATATAGTAAATTTAGTAAAAGGAAATTTCAAAACTTTATTATAACTTTTAAAATAATAATAATAAGTAAAGTTAGGTGTGTTTTACACTTAAATAAAAATCTTTTGAAAAACTTAAACATTCAAGCACAAAGTTATAAGTTCTTTATAGCATTAAAGCTCTTATAATATTATAAAAACGAATACAAAATTTAAAATATGTTATTCACTCTTTTAAAAATAAAGTTATTATAAATTTATAACAATATCAAATTATTAATAACTTTTCTTATTTTTTCATAAATTTAAAATAAATTTGTAAAGTTGTATTGAATATTCATTATGTTATGAAAACAAAATTACAAGAAAAAATTACAAAATTAAAGTAGATTTGATTGATATCACAAAACAATTTTCAAAAAAAAAAAAAATTAAAAACTTATTTCTATAATTTTTCTTTCTTTGTAAACATTTTTGTGGGGTACAACAAATCTAACAAAATACCACGAACCCCCACAATTATAAAAAGGGGCCATAAATAAAAAGAAAAAATTTATTTTTAATTAAATTAAAGGTTTCATAATTTTACAAAAAGAAGAAATGAAAGTGTTACTTTTTTTTTGAAAACTTTTTTGTTTTCATTCATATTTTATTTTTGTTAATTATAATCATCATTTAAAAAAAATTTTTTAAATTCCTTTAAACGCCACTGCGCAATCTCAAAAGGCTCCAAAGAA